CTTTAATTAATCTTATAATTACAAAAAGCTACACTTTTATCTTTTGCTTTATTTTTAAGGGTATTATAAGTAAATAAATTAATTGTTCCTAAATTCTAAATTTAAAAAAATAATAAAAAAAGTGATAATTATTTTAGAGTAAAAGAGTAATTATTCAAGTAAAAAAAGATATCGCTGTACTAAAAAAATGATGTTTGAGTACTATAATTATTAAAATATCATTAATGAACAAATAAAGAAAAGAGTTTATTAACAGTAATTTAGTAATTTTAATACCTGAATTATATTTTTTTTGTATAGTTTATATTAAAAAAAATTATGATAAAAATACATTATACATTTTAAATTGATTTCTAAGGTTTTTTTTTTTTTTTGTGTTGCAGAATATAAGATAAGCATCACTGACCCAGGGTACCATAGAATTGGCACTATTTCAATTCTGAACATGGTCCATTTCATTTGCCAACTAAGTTCGTGGCCTAATGTTAAGGGCTTGGTGGTGTGACATCTAAGTCCTCACTTTGAGCCCAACCACTAACATTAGTCTTCTATCCCCTAAATATGTAGTTGTAATGTAAATACCTTAATAATAATAAAAAAAAAAAAACCAAGTTCATTTCGGATTTTGTATCAGATGTTTATCCCAGGTAGAGAAAGCCAGAAACTCTGTACTAAATGGATCCAGAGTACTATAGAACTGGACTATCCGACCCAAATCTGATCTTCATGCTTTTGGAGTTAAAACCCAAACTATTTTTTAATAGCATAGAAGAAGTAGTTTAATAACACTTTATGGGAGAAAGGGGTGGGGAGAGTTATTCAAACTCTCCCCAACAAATGAAGAAACCTTTTACGTTTAGAGATTTGGGCAGAGAAGCCTTCCTCATTAAAACCCAAACTATATGTTGTGAGTAATGGAGGAAATTATAGATGATCCATGCATTGCTGCTGATGGATTTGCATGAACACAGAGCAATCAAGGCTTGGCCTGAAAAACACATGGTCTCACTGGTGACAAACCTTTGGATCCAAAATTCAGTATTGACTCCAAACCAAACCACAAACCATGCTAGCATTAAGGTGAGTTTCCAACCATAAGATTTTGCCTCTAAAGTGCTCATTTTCATTTTCCATTCAACCATTCTCGCACCCTAAAATGTGTATTTGAATTAAGTAACGAAACGTTTTGCCCGTTTAGAGTTAGTTCATATGCCTTTTGGACCACTTGGTGAGTTATAAATTGTTATGTTGTCTATAAATGGAAGAGCAAAATTATCTATCGAGACACAATTCCTGTCATATTCATAAGCATCACATCCCTGTTTGTGCATAACAAGTCATTATTGTACTAATGGTATAGTCCTCAAGAAATGATATTTGCATTTATATATACATATTTACCTGGTTCCTACGAGAATAAATGCTTAGGACATTTTACCAGTGTTTAGGCTTCTGAGAGCTAAAATTTATCAGCCATCAACTTGTGTAAACTCCAGGGCATTTGCATCAGGATCTCTTGTAAAGATTGCTGGCCTTCCAGATTTGCTA